TTCATGGACGAGAGTGAGTTTCCAAACTGCTCTGTCACAGAACCTTCCTTCAGTTTGTGAACAGATATTTTCTTCAAGGTGTTTGCATATAGGCAAGGTTAGAAATTCTGGGAGAGAAATACCAGAAATCAGGAGCAATCACACCATGCTGTGAGTTGGTGATGGGCAAGAAGTGGGCTATGGAGGAATGAAAAGGTTATGCAGCTCCAGGCACACTTTCCTAGGCACAGGAGAGGTTCAGGGGCAAAAGGAGCCTGAAGCAGACAGGTTAGTACAGCAGGTGTGTCTCCAGACAGCCGAGAATGTTCCAACAATGTAAGAGCTAGAGTGCAGCCTGACAACTCTTCAGGCTTTCTAAACTGTGCTGTCATTGATGCATGATTTGTTTTCAGGAAAATGCTCTGATACCTAAAATATGTATGGTATTCATGCTAAGCTGCACCCTACAAGGAAAGAAGTATTCAGCACATATTAGGACATTCGTTCAAGGAGCCTTTGATGGCTGTCAGTGTAATGGCAGCAGGAGTGCTATCTTCCTCTTCCAGGTCATGGGCTTTACTGCAAGCCCTCATTGTCCTGAATGCACAGTGCCCCTTAACTGGACAGCCCTCACCCGGTAACGTGTGGATTTGGTTTGCAACAGAAGGATGTAGAGATGATCGGGAATAGTGGCAAATGCATTGTGCAAGCAATGGGGGGCCCAGGCACAGAGCGCAGAAAGTGCTGAACAAGCATCTGGACACCCGCTGGTAACCCTGACCATTCCCCAAAGGTTCTGTGTCTGCTTTTCCTGGCAACTGCTCCACTGGTCATTGCAAGACATTTTCCAGGGAACATGGATTATGAGCCTGGCTTCCCCAAGAATCCTGCCTCTTAGGTCAGAGATGGAATCTGTGGCTTGTTTATTGCTTTTACTTTTATCACTGTGGACAGCTGGACTTAGCAGGGAAGGGGATGACTTGAAGTTTGGAACTGTGGGGCTGTGGACACATCTCAGAATGAATGGTTGGAGATAGAGCAGGGATGATACACAGCGCTGGATCCTGGCGTGCTGATAATACAGTGGGCAGGCAGGACTGAGGCATGGACAATTAAAAAGCTATAAACAGCAGTATCCATCAACACATGGTAAGCAGGGAGCTAAGAAGAGCGAGTTCAGTGAAGGAGGAAAGTGGAAGCTCAGGATGCCGCAGGTCAGGAGCTGGTGCCTACTGAGTATCTGCGGCAGGCTTCACACACCTCACCTAGACCTCAGTCATGCCTGCGAGATACACTCAGATGCCAGGATTCCAAGAGGGGTGGATGCCGAGAGACAGTGTGGGAAGAGAAGAAAAGTGTCTTCAGTCTTTCCCTGCTTCCCCTCCTTCCTTTGTGTCCTTGATGATACAGAGGGGGTGAGGGCAACAGGGCCGAGCCCACAGGTGGAGGACCACACAGCTTGTGGCCTTTCCAGCCTGCTGTGTCACAGGCTGAATGGTGATGAGCCGGGAACAGCTTGGACATAAGTTTGAGGCCCTGTCCACATCCTGCTACCCTGGCAATCCTATGGCTCCTGAGAGCAGAGCTGCTCTGCACCAGTTGACAGCCTTTGGTCAGTGAGTAATCTGGGAGTAGAAATGAAGATTTCTGTGTTCAGCTTTGCAAGTTGCTTTGAAAGTGATGGGCTGTTTCTGTGCTGGGACCAGAGACTCCAGCACAATAATTGGGAATTGTGACAAAGACAGCTTACAGAAGGTTCCACACCCAGGAAAGATGGGGACACTAGGCTTTCGTGAGCTTCCCAGGCCATGTTTATACATTCAGAATTGGAGAACAGTCCCACAGGGAAAGTGTCTCAGTGTGAGGGCACTTGGTCTGAATCACAGCCAGCACTTATTGAGCACTCACTGTGTACACTGTGGCATTTAATCCTTATGATAGCTTATGATAGGACAGTATTTTTTTTTTTAAATCTCAGCTTCACAATGTGGATTTGAGGCATTGCAAGGCTGGCCAGCAGTGAGCATTGTAGTTAAACTCAAAACCAGGCTGTCTGGTGGGTAATAACTCTCTGTTCTCCCTTCCAGGTGAGGGTTAAACAAAAAAGAATATTGGAGCATAATGAATTAATAATTTCTTGAATTATATAAAAACTCCCTCATATACTTCTCTTTGTGTCTGTCCCTGGCACTGGTTATAAAATACTGCAGATTGATCACTTTATTTGATCAACATGGGAATCCCATATGGAAACATTCGGGAAGCTCTGCAGCATCAGCCACAGCCCTGACTGAATCACATTCCTCTGTAGTCCAGGCTTAGCTTTCACTCAGAAAATAGGCAGAAGAAAAAGAAGCAAAATTTGTCTTGTGAAGACACTTGGTTTGAACTAAAAATGAACTCCCATGAAAATCAAGCTCTAGAAATCTATTTCTCCCTAGGGGAAAGATGCATTTTTTTTCATTTGCATTGGCTAAGAGAAATAAAATTGTCTTAAATAAGATTGATTTGAAAACAGGCACATCATCTTCTTTTGATGTTGTATTGTTGCCCATGAGTCTGTAACAGCCTATGCTAGAGAAATATGGGGAAATTCATCGCTTCATTCTTTCAGTGATTACTTATTGATGTCCTACTGTGTGGTGAGCCCACTCTCTGTTGAGTTTCCACACTGTGGATCCAAGTTTCAAAGCAATCCAGGAATTAAAGGAATATACACATTCAGTTTCACAGCAAAACTTCTGGGGTATAAAATTATGCCTTATTGTTTTTATAGTCAGACTACAGAAATCCTAACTGATGATATGAAATCAAAACACTGTTTAAATATTGAGAAGCCTACTCACTTTAGGAGGAGACAGCCGAATCAGAGGGACAGTATCGTATTTGTCAGGGTTCTCCAGGGACACTACAAGTAGGATGTGTGTAGATGGATGCCATGTGATTTACCTTGGGAACTGGCTCACCTGATTATGAAGCTGAGAGGTCTCAGGACATACCACCATGTACAAGCTGCACACCAAGGGAAGTCATTGGTGTAAATTAGGCTGAGGCCAAAGACCTGAGAATGATCTTCCTTACTCAGTCCATTGATTCAAATGCTGATCTCTTCTAGAAACCCCCTCACAGACACACCCATGAAATAATACCTGATCAGAAATCTGGGCATCCCCTAGCCCAGTCAAGTTTACACATAGCATAAGCATCACAGTTGTGAATTCATGTTGGTGCCATAAACACTCTAGGAACTGGGGGTGTTGGGGGAACTTGTCATCTGGGGAGTGCCAAGAAGGACAGGAAGAGTATTTAGGAGGTAGTGGTAGAGATGAAGCTTAGGAAGGACAGGTTATTCAAGGTGGTTGGTGGTTTAGAGGTGTAGGATGAGAGCCAGGAAACACAGGCAGTGCAATACATTTAGACAATGCCCAAGGATTTGGGTTGGTCCAGAGCACAGGGTAGAGGGGATAGAAGAGGGCTCTTCATCTTGGGATAACTGTGGTCCAGTCGGAGTCAAAGCAAGAGAAGGAATCATGGCGGGCTGTATGTGTCACTCCAAGGAATGTGAATTTTATCTTCTGGTGGATAGTCAGGAAGGGATAAAGAGCTATGGACAAGAGTCATAGGCAGCAGCTCAAATACAGGCCACAAGCACACTCCTGGAATCAGTAACAGCCAATCAATCAATGGATCCATCAATGAGATAAAGGTCAGTGAGGTGGTGATCAGTTAGTGGTGCCTTGTTTAGACATTCTTTAACACTGGAATCAAGTTCTTGGCTCTGTTTGAACACTCAGTTGTTAGGCTACTACAAACTTATAAAAGTCTCCTTAGGAGGAAGAATTCTCACGAATTCTACTAATGTCAGTAATTTTTCTTATGGTATATTCTATGTACTACCAAATCTAATATCATCTATATGCCCTTTATAATTATAGTTCTTTCCTAACTGTGAAACTTTTACACATTAAATACAAGAAAGCAATAAAACCAATAGGATTCAATTTAACAGGTTTAATTAAAAAAGATGTTTCACTGAACTAAAAGTACCAAAGTGGGTTTTAAAGTTTCCATTGTTTCCTAATTTTTCTCTTGATTTTTGGAATGGCAGGTTTTATTGCATTCATTGTAAAATTCAGAAAGCAATTATAAATTTGAGGTGAAATATATGAGTCAGAGATGAGTCAGCTTTTGTAAGACCTGAAGTTAATGCAATTGGGTGTGTGTGGATCCTATTTAAGAAAACAGACACAATATTTTCAATACGAAAATGCTTGTACCCCTCCCAGGGTTCTGGAGAAAGTAGTTTTAACTGAAGTCTAAGTTCTGTTAGTATCATGACAAATCCATCCTTGTGTAACGTACATTTAATTATGCCCAGGACATATCAAGTGCTCAATAAATATGTTTCTGTTGGCCTGCTCTTGAAACCAAGCAAAATTTTTGCTACAGCAACATCCAAGGGGAAGAATCCATCCAATGACCTCTGCTCCCCACCCCACACTGAATAGGTAGTTGGTCAAGAGTTTTTAAGATCTCAAGCACAAATGGTTTAACCATTTACAGTGAAATGAACTAATAAATCAAAGTGGTCAATGCAACCTAAAATCCATCAATGTTTCCCAGAAATAACAAGTTCATACAGTCCCAATGATTGAGTTGGTTTTTGCATGTAGACATCATCCATCTTGGAAAATGCATCTTGAAGTCTTTATTTGTTTTCTCCTGCTAACTGCGACCTTGATTTCCATTAGATACCTGCAGATGGATGTGTTTTTTAAGAGCTGTAAGTGAGAAGGTGTCAGGATTCACTATCTATGTTGACATCCCATCATGATGGGCCTGTGTCTGAGACATGTCACTCTGAGTCCTATTTTAATTTTAATGCTATTGCTCCGATAAAAATATAGAATTGTACATTTTCTCAAATCATATAATATCTGTAGTAAGCAGCAAATAGAAAGCCCTTCTTGCATATTTTCTTATTAAAAAAGAATCAAATATTTAAATAAAAATTGATATACCTCTTAAGTAACTCCTGAGAGACTTGCAGGACTCCCCAGTAATTAGTTATGCAAATATGTACTTGCAAGTCAATATTCTTGAGACATGAATCAACTCTTATCTCCTCCTGCCCAGCTCCTGTCTTCAACAAACAAGGGAGGAGCTGCTGTCTTTGGTGACCATGAGGGACACAGAAGAAAAAGATGCTTTTGTTTGAATCTACCCAATGAAATACCCTTCAGTGCCAACCCTACAAATTCCCAGAGCAAATGTTTTAAGCCACCTTCTTTCTTTTCAATATCATATTCTCCTAGTGGAATATAGAGAGGTAGAAAGCTCCAAAGATGAAGGTACAGCATGAGTATATGGAATGCTGCAGGACCAGCCCACTCCATGAGGAGCCCTTGGGGTCCGGAAGGATAATAGAGACAGACCCTCGGCTCTGCCCTGGGAAAGACAGCTCAGTGCAGTTGAGGGGAAGTCCTTTTTGAAGAGAGACAGGGAGCAGCAGAAGGAGCGGCTTTGGTCATCACATGGGGAAATAAAGACAGAAACAAGAATCTGTGAGGAAATAAGGCAGAGAAAACATATTCTAATGAAATGAACTGGAGAGAGCCCTGCAGAGGCAAAATGGAGTGGGGGTATCAATTATTAAAATGCCTTTTCCCAAAAGTATTATCCAGGAGACAAGGTAAAATGCATGAATTGGAATTGGATACTTTTTAAATAATTTCTTCAGCAATAAGGTGTGTGCTATGGCAATAAAAAAGGAATACCCTCTAAATACCAGAACTTCAATCCCCCCTCCTTTTTTTTTGAGGTCATATTGCTTGCTTGTTTGTTTATTCTGGGAAAGACATTAGAGAAGAAAGAAGAGTGTTGATAGGATTTAGGTGAATAGGCCATGGTCAGATTACTGCATTTTAATTTTTTTCTATGTAATTATTTAAAGATAAAAAAAATCAGAGATTTCACCCTTCCCATAGTGGGTTTGAAAGATTAAATCATGTTTCTTGGAGATAAATACATTCAATTTCACCCTGGAAGAAAAAAGAAATTCTGCCTTTTGCATGACAACAAAACAGTTTTAGAAAGTACTGAGATATTTAATGTTAAATAAATACTTAAAACAATCATCTTTCCACAGTGCATATGTAAGTGCGTGTTTATGTCTACTCTGATTCAATAAATGCGATTTACAGGGGCAAGGAGTCATCCACCTGGGTGTGACCTCCATTCTACTTGAAGAGGTGACCAGAGTGGCTGCAGACTTCTGATAATGCACTGCATAAAACAAGGATTAACTCATTGTTCCCTGCTTTATCTCAAACCAGACAGCCTGCGGAAGCATTTACATTTCAAAACAGGGATTTACTCACAATATTCAGATAAGCTGGAGAGCACCTGCTTTTCCAGCCTTTGCAAATAATATCCGCATTTTTCCTGGAAGGCAGGCTGATCTGTCTTATCAGCCAGAGAATAATGTGTGCCTCTGAAGTGGTGTAAAACGGGGAGGTGAGCAGCCAGGTTGGGGGGGGCGTGGTCGAGAATGTGCGGGTCCGGCGCTGCTCCGGCTCCGGCTCCGGCTGCAGGATCCGGACTCTAGCTCACAGGCGTGTCTGCTGGCTTAACTCCGTTTCCAGGTTTACGAAGACCGCGGGACGTCCGGGAAGGTGACTGGGAGGACGTGAGCAGGCGTGGAGCCCCCGGCCTCCGCGGGTCGCCCAGGCCCCGTCTGCGCCCCTGCCACGACGCCCACCCCTCCGCGACGCTGCCCTGCTGCGCTGCAGCGGGCGCCTCCCTCCAGGACCTGCCGTCGACTCCCCCCCCCCCCCCCAGGGGCTTCCCTACAGGCCCGACTGGAGCCCAGCTTCGGACTCGCACCGCCAGGCCCGGGTCTCCTCACCTGCGCCCCGGGCCCTGACGCTTCCCGGACTCGCACAAGCCCGGGGTCTCCGCCCGGGTCTCCTCACCTGCGCCTCGGGCCCTGACGCTTCCCTTCGGACGGGACTCACACCGCCGAGCCCGGTCTCCTCACCTGCGCCTCGGGCCCTGACGCTTCCCTTCGGACGGGACTCACACCGCCGAGCCCGGTCTCCTCACCTGCACCTCGGGCCCTGACGCTTCCCTTCGGACGGGACTCGCACCGCCGAGCCCGGGCCCGGTCTCCTCACCTGCTCCCCGGGCCCTGAGGCTTCCCTTAGGACGGGAGCTCCTGAGCGCTCGGGGCGCGGGCGTGGACGCGGAGACGGGCTCTGTCCCCTCCTGCGGGTTTTCCCTGGGGGCGGGGGCTGTGGTGGTTCCGGAAGCTGCCAATGCAGGACAACCTTGACCAGGACCCTGCCTCCCTACAGGCTGCGAAGGAGCCGCCTGTGCTCGGCCAGCCATGAAAGGGCGGGCAGCAGCTGCCTGTGTCAGGCCGCGAAAGAGACCCGCATCGCGACAGGCCGCAAAGGAGCCTGCTGTGACCGCCATGTCACCACGGGAGGCAAGCGCTCACTGTGATCACCGAGTCACGACAGGCCGCAAAGGAGTCCACTGTGACCGCCGTGTGACTACAGGCCGCAAAGGAGCTGCCTGGGACCACCGAGTCACGACAGGCCGCAAAGGAGCTGCCTGGGATCACCGAGTCACGACAGGCCGCAAAGGAGCCCCTGTGACTGCCGAGTCACGACAGGCCGCAAAGGAGCCCCCCTGTGACTGCCGAGTCGCGACAGGCCACGAGGCAGTCGCCAGGAAGGAGCCGGGCCTACTGTGAGACGGGGAGTGGAGCTCTGAGCAGAACAGAATCCCGGAATCCAGCGTGCCACAGCCGCATCCCATGTGGGTCCGCGGGAGCTTCACGGGCGTGTCTTCAGGAAATAGGCGAGCGGACCCCGCCCATGGGAGCGCGGCCGAGCTGCCTGACTGCCCAGACCCGGCCTCTGGCGAGTGGCTGGCCCCGCAGCTTCGGTGAAGGAGCCCACGCGGGACTCAGTGGGTGCACACCAATCGGAGCCCCCAGGGCTGGGCCCTGGGCACGGGAGCGCCCCTCTGGGCTTCCTGTCGCTCCATTTGTTGGGTGCTCCTGGCGCCCGCAGGTACCCGGTGGCTGCCCCCTTCACCTTTGAAAGCCTGGGATCATCCGGTCAAAAACCCGCCAGGCCAGCCTCGAGGAGACCTGAGAGGAAACGGCGTTTAGAGGGAGACGCAGCCGGCGGGGTAGCGCAGCTTAAGACGAAGCCTGGGAACCCGGCCGGGCTGCTCTCTTCTGATCCAGCTTCCCGCTGCTGTCCCTGGGAAGCAACAGATGAGCGACAAGCACGAGGAGCCCCCCTGGAGTTCCTGGCTCCTAGCCCAGCCCTGTTCGTGCGTTTAGAGTCAGCCCGTGGATGGAGGAGGCTGTCTGTCTCTCATTCTGCCTTTTGAACACATAAGTAAATGCATCTGAAAAAACAGACATCGACAGGCATTTGGTTTATCTGTTACAATGCAAGGTAGGATGCCTGCCTGTGACATCGGAGTGGCTGCACTGGGTACCAGTTCCCGCTCCTGATGCCGGCTTCATGCCTGTGAAGACCCTGGGAGGCAACAGCCGGTTCGAGTACTTGGATCCCTGCCGCACGTGTGAGAGACTTGGCTTTTTGCTTTCATCTCCTGCTGTAGGCCTGACCCAGTTCTGGCTGTTGCAGGCATCCAGGGGAGTGAACTAATGGAAGAGAACTCAACTGTCCCTCTTTCTCAAATACAGAAATAGAAAGGAGGACCAAAGCCAAGGAAATTGGGAAGATGGCACTCAGCACAGCCCAGCCTCAGCCAGGTCACATGGGTGTGGCAAAGGCGTGGTCCTCCAGCTCACAGACCTAATCAGTTCTAGACAGCCTACTTCACCTTGAGTCACTCAACTGGTGCCTCACCATTTGTAAGTCTCTGAGGGCTCCTGGGAGGTGAGTAGCTGTTCTTATGACCTGTGGCTTCCCTGGAGCTCTCCAGTAACATCTTGGAACTATGTTAAACTACTGTTGTGTGACCTCCTTCCAGAAAGCAAGATGGGCAGACTGGAGGTCTGTTGTTTTAGCAATTCACAATCTCCAGGAAGGAACAGACACATTCAGAAATAACTGTGCTTTAAACCTACATGGGCACAAAATGGCTCACTTTGTTTCTTAACAAAACTGAAGCCTGCATGTTCCAGGAGGAAGGGCCAGTGCCCCATCGGGGCAGGGTAGAGAGGCCCCAGCAGCTGGAAGTGATGGTAGTTCCTACCACCAACTGCAGAAAAGAAAGCAATGGGAGGACATCAGAAGGATTCTGGTGGCTGTGCAAGACTTTGATGAAAAACAGAAATAGAGAATTTCTGTGGAAGCAAACACATGAACAAATAAAGAGAAGCCACAAGTATGACTCTGGAAAGTAATGCCATTATTATTACTTTGCATCCTAAGAAGTAATCATATTTTTAAAGCATATTTTCAGTTTTGATAATGAAAATGAGAATCTTCATTACTGTTTATGCAGAGTTTGAATTTGAAAAGATTTGCACCAATACAAGGCAGCCCCAGTATTTATAATTAACATTCACTATCGTGTCCTGGCCTTTTAAATTTCTCAGACACACAAAGCAAATAAACATTCCAGGAGCACCTTGGTTTGAAGATGGATGACTTCTTTTCTATCAGTCTAGGCAGTTATCAAAAAAATTGATTTAGGTTTTGCTGAACAATTTAAAAAAAATAAAGGCCATGAAATATTTTCATGAGAAGAGCATTGCGCAGTAGTAGAAGCACCAGACTTGGCCTCTGAAGACTGCAATTTGTATTCAGGAGGTGATTGAGTCTACCTCGTATGCCAGTGGGGATCCAGGCCTGTCTTTGGAAGTCTCTTTTCTGATTTGTCATTTGGGTACAGTGTTGTCTGTCCTCTCCTCAAGGGAACAAATGAGGTAAGTGAAATCACTTCATAAATTTCCAGATGCTGAAAGGATTAACAATAGATATCATTGTTCAATGTATAAAATATAAGACCTCTATGAATGTCTTCTACAGGCACCTTCCAAACCATTTTATTGTTTATTTCTTTTGGTCAAATTAAATAACAAATGAGATTCTAGGTAACCAAGAAAATATCAATGCCAAGGTGTGCTTACTGCACATGGCTGTTGTAAGCTCAGACCAGATTCCAGCTCCATCTTACTAGAGAGCTCATGATTTACAACTTAGATGGGTCATCAAATAGCAGTGGCAGAACTTATTGTAAACAGTGGTAAGTGGCAAAGAACAAATATAACCTTTTATACAGAAAGGAGAAAGGAAAATATTATTCTACTCTTGTGTAGTGTTCTTGCACTGCAAATGCAGGGTTATTTTTTGTAAATATTTTTAAAAAGTGTATTATTTATTTCAAAGGCAGAGCAACAGAAGGGGGGAGAGAGAGAGAGAGAGAGAGAGAGAGAAAGAGATCATCTGCTGGTTCATTCTCCAAATGCCTGAAACAGGCAGGGCTGTGCCCGGTTTAAACCAGGAGCCAGGAACTCCATTTGGGTCTTTCACCTAGATTGGCAGGGATCCAAGAATTTGAGCCATCTTCTGCTATCTCCCACAGTGCACATTAACAGGAAACTGTAATGGAAACGGTTGGGACTGAATGCTAGGTCCTTGTGTTTAGTATGGGGTGACCCAACTGGTATCTTAATCCACTGTACTACAATACCTGCCTCTAGTGTTGTGTTCAATTAACTACTCCTGACAATGTTTAGAATATTGTACAGAAGTACAAGGTGCAGGGGTAGAAATGATGAAAATGTTGAATGGCAAGAAGAGTAAGATTACCTGCTGTGCTACAATACTTGCCCCAATCTAGAAAAACTTGATGGATGAATTCGTGTAGAGAAAAACTCATACATACAGAACCTACCTATTTAGTAATGGGAAGAAGTTAACATGCAACATACATTATGACTGGCTTATAATTGCCTGAAAATGAACATGGTTTCTAGAAGTTCTTTGTTTTTATTTCCTCATTCTTTACTGCCTTGATTCATTTACTTGTCCTTTTATCTCTCTCTTCTGGGCTTTTCCTTATGGGGGAGAATGACTTCCTTGGTTTTCTGTATCAACACCTATCATAGTGCCTGGTGTGTGCAGGTACTTCGTAATTATGGAATGTGTTGTATTCCAGAATTATCCTGTTTCACAAAGTTAAATATGAATATAAAAACCACTGATGATGTTCTTTTTTTTTAACTTTTATTTAATGAATATAAATTTCCAAAGTACAGAATATGGATTACAATGGCTTCCCCCCCATAACGTCCCTCCCACCCGCAACCCTCCCCTTTCCCACTCCCTCTCCCCTTCCATTCACATGATGATGTTCTTAATAAGAAAAACAGGTCACTGAAGGACACTGACAAATAACTTTACCTGCAGCAATACCTGGCCACAAGCATTATGCTGCAGTAGAAATTGTCAGGAAGCTTTCAGAGGCGCCTAAATATTTGCATCATAACTTGGGGAATCAAGGCTGATTCATACACATTTAACAGTGCTCTGGCTTCTTATAGGCCACTAGGGTCACAAGATAAAAATGCGAACTTATATACTTTTGGCATTAGTCAACATATGACAATCTTCATTTGAGGTATCTACTGGATGACATCTGTTTCCTTGGGAGTCCTTGGATCTGGAGGTCACCCAAGAGATCTGCGTTTGCAGTTCATTGATGAGGTTTTAAGGTATATTTAGACCAACATAAATGTCAAGAGCCACTGGATTTGGAGCTTTTTTAAAAAATGGTGATATCAGGTTGCTGATGTGGGCTTTTGCTACTCAGGGCCGTGA